TGAATAGCCGAAGTGCTACTTAGTAGTAGAAACTCAGAGTAGAGAGACAAACAGAGAGGGGACTCTATCATACCTGCTAACTCCTAGGATGAGATAGGTCCTTTGTTTTTGGCAAGAATAGTTCCAGCATTGGCCCTCAGTAGAGTGAGTCTACTTAGCAAACTGACAGGACTCTGAGATCGATTGATCAATGTGAATCTCGAGAGTGGATGGTTGACTGCCGGCCCCTTATCTTGGAGGCTCTTCGGTCGAGTAGGGGATTGCTATCATAACCTTTTTGCCCGGTGTATGTGAAAAAGAGTGACCAACCCATTTATGTTCGGTCATAGCTTGGTCCAAACAAAGAACAAGAGTCGGCTTCCTGAAAGGAGTTCTTCCTCAGTAGCTCAGTGGTAGAGTGGTTGTCTGTTAACTGACTGGTCGTAGGTTAAAATCCTACTTGGGGAGCATTTATAGTTATCGCTTTTTTGACCTAGTGATCCCTATTTTTCTCTTTAGTTTCTAAACTAGCAGAATCGTGGGACATCAAAAGTGGGAAGTTGGTTGTTGGTTTTTATTCCTCACTCTCGTATAGGTGAACTTGGTTCATTCAATTCTTAGGGAGAAGAAGGATCCACTGGGAATGAATGGGAAGACTGGAGTAGTATCTTCATTTAGCCAGAAGGAATTTGTCTCCATGAGCATTATTCGAAGAACAAATAAGAAAAGGCTTATTGTTCAGGTAGGATAGATAGATGTCGTCCAATGGCTAAAGCTCTACTAGCTTCTTGTAGACTGAACTATCTTCTCTTTAGGTTTTGAGTTGTTTTTGGGTGGGATGGTCTAATTTTTCTTCGCCACTAGTACCAACGAAGTTCTTGAAATTTTCAAGGGGGAAGGAAGATCTCCACTCATTTCATTCATTCAGTGCCTATGGCAAGGCGCGACCCAAAAAGGGGGAAAGCTTACTTCATGTAGCCTATTTTAGTAGACTAGGCTGGTAAGTGTAAGCCATTTAAGTAGGCTCGAGAAGGGTAGGCTCGCAGCTTCGCTCAGCAGAAGAGCGTTACTTCAATTATATTAGTAAAGCACCAGCGCCCAGCCTATGGGCTTTGAAAGGATAGGGGAAATGGGCTTTGAAAAGGATAGGGGAAGGGAAGAAAACAAGGAAGGTCACTCCTTTTTAGGAAACATGGTCGTTCACTTCACTTGCTTTCATGAACTCGCAGCCTTCGCAGAAGCGACGAAGGGGGCTGGGGAAGGCCGCAACGACTACATAACATGAAGGGGGAAGCTGTCGTAGAAAAGCTTTCCCCTTGCTTTACAGAGATTGTTATGAACTGGACTAATGACGTAGATTCTCCCGGAACGCTAGCTAAGCTAATAATAGTATTAGTTCCTTCAATCAAATCAATAAAGCTTTTTTTTTCTGATTGATTCAAGGGGCGCCGCCCTCCTTCTTTAGAAACCCAGAGAGGGGGCCTGGCCGGGAAGGGAGAGTTGGCGAGCGGTCAAAAAGCGGACAGGACTGTAAATCTGTTGAAGTTTTTTCACGTTAGAGTTCGAATCCTGCCTCTCCCACTTTTTTGTTGCTAGACTTCAGAGAAAGAGAAAAGAGCAATTCGTCAGCGTAGAAGAGACCCACCGAGCGAAGCTCTTTCTTTTTTTTTTCACCGTGCCGTGGAAGTGAAATTTGTATTCGTATGTTAGGTTAGAGAGTTTGGCCGAACTACTACGATTCTATAGATTCCCCATCTATATCCAATCCCAACGAGAATAGAAGCGAGTCGCTTTCCTGCTTGGCTTGTAAAGTCGTAGTCTTTTAGGTTTTAGCTTTATGTATTGGTCGGCTCCTTACACGCACGCGCCCGCCAAAGTGATGTAAGTATCTCTAAACTTGAATTTGAAAGTGATCTTCTAGATATTTATAATAACCTTTGCACTGAATTTGAAAAGCTTGCTAAAAAGAATAAAGTTCTAATGAAGGATTACAGAAAGTTGAAAACTGAATGTAATCATTTGAAAGATACTTTCATCAAGAAGTTACATGCAAAGATCTTATTATGGAGATAAAAAATCTTAAAGATTGCAATGATAAATTTTTTGAAAATATGAAACACTTTGAAGAAAAATGCAAAAATCTGAATTCTGAAAATGAATTTTTAAAATCTAAGATCAGAATTCTAAAGTAAATTTCAGAATCATTTACAAAAGAAAAGACAAGTTCTAGCTATGATAGCACTTCAAGTCATAATCAGTTTTCTGTTAAGAAAAATGCCATTCTAATGTTGTGACTTTAGAACATCAGAAACATTTTGAAAAATTTGTTAGTCTTGATAAAAGAAAAATCATAGCAAAATGAATGAAAAAGGACCTACACCTGTTGCCACTAACCGTCTAGGACCCAATACATGTTGGGCACCTAAATCTGCATGATATTTTCAGGTGTGCCTAAGGAGTGAACTGAAAATAGAAATGTGGTATATGGATAGTGCTTACTTTAGGCATATGACTAGTGATAGTAAGAAATTCACCAGATTAGAAAGGAAAAAGGGAGGTACAGTGAGCTTTGGTGATAAAGCCAAAGGTAAAATTGTTGGTATTGGTGTTGTAGATTCTAATCCTTTAATACAAAATGTATGCTTATTGGAAGGATTGCATTATAAATTGTTAAGTGGAAGGATTGCATTATAACTTATTAAGTGTAACTCAAATTTGTGATAAAAATAGAAGAGTGATCTTTGAACCCTCTCATTATGAAGTATAGAACATGCATGATAACAAAAATCTGTTTATAGGAAAAAGAAGACTTGGACATGCAAGCATGCACCTTATTTTTAAACTATCGAAGAAAGATTTAGTTCGTGGTTTGCCAAAGTTAAATTTCAAATCGAAGGGCATGGTTTCTATTTCTAGACCTTTAGAATTGCTGCACCTTGATTTGTTTGGACCTATAACTCCTTCTAGCCTTGGAGGTAAATCATATGCAGTTGTTATTGTTGATGATTGCTCTAGATTCACCTGGACACTTCTCCTTATAAATAAGGACGAGTCATATGACCTGCGGAAACAAGTTCAAAACTATGCGGGAGCGAACAACATTTTTTAAAGCAAAGCGCTTAGTCTCTCTTGTAGCGGTCTGATCTTTGGATTGAAGAATTATAAGAAACACCGGTATTTTCCTCCCCCCTTTCTTTTTCTTCTGCAGTGGGTCAAAGTCATTATTGTCTCAACCAAGATTACAGGAATTGGATTAACATTTTCTTTTCCACTCGGGGATGAAAAAAATGAGAAAATTTATACCTCCAAAAAACGAGATCTGAGATACCGTCTGCGATCCATGAAATGAGTTCTCCACTCCTACGATAGAGTGAAAAGTCACGTCAGCTGTGGATATAGACTAGGCTATAATTTTTCAAAACTCTTTCTCGATTGGCCCCAACTTCATAGATCAGCACACTGAGCTCCTTGCTATGGGCAGAGTGTGAAGGTATATATAATAGTATTTATCTTATTTTTATGAATTTGGAGCTTATATAAAATAATCTTTTATTAAAATTCTAAATTTAATTTGGATATGGGATATAATTAACTTTTAAGTTGACCTACGATTGCTTGATTGCCCTCTTTTTAGCTACTTACTAAGAAACTAGCTTCGCACCTCACCCCGAGAACTCAAAGGTGCGTAGCTTGTTCCACAATTAAACAGTTCTGTGTGTATCCTCTCACCTAATTAAAATTAATACCACCGGTTGAAATAAAGTAACTAAATCGCTCCTTTCCATAGTCTTATTCTAGTTCAAACGGAAGAAGTATCATATAACCTCTTCTTCCTAAACGAAAACGCCGCACGGTAGAGTCATCGTCATCACACCATGACGATTAATATAGTATAGTAATAGAAGATAAGATAGAGTCTTACTTACTAGTCTAGTGGCCCTCTCGGGGACATTTCTGCCAACGAAATGAACGCGGAGCCCGTTCCGAATGCTTTTCTGATTTGGAAGTTCTCGTGAAAAGAATAAGATGCTGCTCTCCCTCCCTCTGTCTTTTCTCGCTTTGCTAATTTTCCCCTCTAACGCAGGCCGGGCGGTGGCGGGCGCGGGAGGAAGAAACCTAAGAGAAGAGTGTTTTCTCTTAGGTCCTTCCTTCTTTTTTCAGTGCAACACTGGAAAGCGCCTTCTTTTTGTCATCCTTGCAGCTTTCCAGATTTTGTATTGAACGCATGGCGTAGCTAGGACCTTCATGCGGGGACAACTCCCCTCTTAAGGGCCTCCTTCCTTGCTGCTTTATTACAAGCAAGATATGAACTTCTCTTGTCCCAAAGCTGCTCACTCCTTGAGCTTCTTTACCAAAAGGGTCTCGTCTCCTTCTTTATTTGTTTGATTGAGCGAAGGGGATAATAATCATATTTTATTTTTTAGCTACTTAAATTTTCTACTCACTTCATTTTAAATGGTAGTTATTTTAACGTTTTAGGAGTATAAAATAAACCTTTTTTTTCTAAGCTTACCTATATTTATTGGGTTTAATTAAAATTAAAATTTCAAATCTATATCTCTTTTCATTAAATAACTCTAAACAAAATAGTAAGTGGATTACATTCCCCATGTAAATTCTAAATTTTTGTATTACTATTATTAATTGTTTTCCTTTCATATTATATATATATATATCATAAAAAGTCTACCGTTTTCATTGCTCTCTTAATTCTCAGTAAACATTTTCCTCTTTCTACAATGGAAGCTTATTGCAGCAGAAAAAAATCAAAGTTTTATGTAGTTTTTCAGGAAATAAAGCCTAGGATGGGCGATATAGAAATTGAAAAAGGCTAATTCAATTACTCCATGATCATTTGTTGGATAGTATAATTTAAGTTGTATATATAGTACACTCATCAAACTTATGTAATAGAAGATTATAGTTTTTTAAAAATTTTATTAAATGAACAAATGATTTAATAGCATAATCTATTATTCATATAGTTTGAATGATTTAGATACAAATCTTTGATCGTATATATGTGGGCACCTGATATCTTATGAGGGTTCACCCACCCCGGTTTACACGCATTCCTTTCTAATGCGCCTAAAATTTCGATTTTGCTAATAATTTCAACGTGTTCCTAATATGGTTCCTAATGGACTACATTGGCAACAAATCTTTCTTTTTTCCCTGCAGATTGCTTTTCTATGATCTTAGGAGCACTGGCCGCCAAATGGCCCAAACGGAAAGTAAAAGACCCTAGCTCATAGTTCAATTGGACAAGATGTAGGTTATATTCGTACTGGTTCTCATGTGGAACCATAGGAAGGAATTCAATCACTACTAGAATTGGTACTTTATTTATGCCAGTAAAATGACGAATAGATGCATTCGCATAGTTTTTAGCATTACGCGCAAACCCGAGTGTCAAATAATATAGCGGCATTTGGGCGCTCTAGCCAAAACGAATCCTATTTCGCTATTACCTTCTCCATTACTGATGTTCTCATACGCAGGAATACCCCTGTAGCCGGCTTTTGTAGCAAATTCTAATTTGTTCTCGCCGCTTTGGTTGTGGGGGCTTACTTCCTAGCCCCAGTGGGGAAAGTAAGTGATCTAGCGTTATAGGTCGTTGGGCCGGCCGAAGGTTGCCACGAGTAAGTCCAGTTTGGGGGAACCGAAGGCAGTATCTCCGTGCACCGGACACGTAGCTTAACCGAATCAAGTTGCGAACACGGAATGGGAAATGTCATGCCTACGGCAAAGATAGGGTCGAGTTGATACATCTTCCGTCTACTCAAATATCCCTTGTACGAGTCCAACAATCAACTACAACACAGATTGAACCCTTGGTTTGGTGAATGGAAAGTTTGGCCTTAGGTGTAATAGGACTCCCAAGTTTACTGGCGCCGATCAGTAATACTGAGGTGCTCCCGCCCGGTTGTTGGAACGACCGCGAGCCAGGCTGGGCCTCGATTCAGAAAGATGAAGGCCAAAAGTAAAGTAGAAAAAAGGGGGTTACAAATTCCCCATCTCATTGGGGGCCGGAAAACGAATCGGACAATCTCGATTTGAAAATACTTTTCTATTTTAGTTGGGAAAGAACGGCGAAGTCCATCCGGACCGTCCAATGAAGAATAAGAGGTAGTAACAAAGCGCCAATGGCGCGCGAAGGCGCATGCGGAAGGGCACGAGAAAAATAAGTTGTGGAGGAAAAGCAGCCGAGCTCAATTCCTTGCGCTTTCCTGGGCCCAAAGCAGTGGCAGTCTTCCTGGTCAAAAAAAGGATTTGGGGCCTTCTTGCTTACGCTACTTAATATAGTAAAATCCATTTTTTTTTAGTAATAGATAAATTATTATATGAATAGAAAGATAGTCCATCCATGCTATCCTTTCCTATTTTTTTTGTAATAAACTCTAAAAAATAATCGATTTCAAATGTCAACCGTTTGAATTCAAAGAACTGAGCTTAGCCCCCCCCGCTCATGAAACGGCTCTGCTGCAATGGATGGCAATAGGGTCCGTAGTACCAAGCACTGGAGTGATCCAGTAGCCGGGAAGGGGCCTAGAAAGTGCCTACTACAGTACCAACAACAACGGTTGGCTCTACACATTTAACAGAGCTAACCCTGTCCAGGCCTGGCAGAGCTAAGGGGCTTCTCCTTCCGGAACCCTTATCCCATTTCGCCCAGGCTAAGGAGCCTTAATTATTCGGGGGGACAGAGTGGGAGCCTCGGAGAAGCACTGTTGAGAGGGAAAATCCTTGCCTCTTCATTCTCTAACAGGGTCTTCAACATAGGTGAACAAGGAGCGAGGCCAGGAGATGGAAAGAGATCGAACACGGGAATTAAGAAAGACTACGTTCCTTTTTTGAATCATTTTGATAGAGGGAAATGGAGAAAGTTGACAAACAGACTCGCATCCCGGTCGAGAAAGATGGGTTCCTTTTTCGTCTCGCATTTCTCATAGAACAAATAGCGGAAAAAAAATTCATATTGAAAACGTTCCTAACGCCAACCCCTTCCTTCGTAGAGCTGTGTATTGTAAATGATCCGAACTTGGCCCGGAGCGAGCCCCCATAAGAGGCAAGTGACAGTTGGTGAGCCGTAATGATGGGGCAACTATTCTTGCGGTTCGGAGAGGAACCTCAGCTGTAGTTTAGTACCCCTTGGTTCGGGTGGACCTCTTTCACTCTATTTTATTATATACGCTTAGCGAAAAGAATGTTTTTTGATAACCTAGACATGGATTCTATAATGAACCAATGGATCGTAACAGTTCGGTTACTACTAGGCAATGACTTCCTCTTTCATTACCTTCATCCTTTCTATATCTCTCCCTGTTCTCAGTTACTCATCAAAATGGCACTCAGTTCAAGATAATCTTTAAGTTCGATCAATTGTGTTTGGAGAGGTGGATAGAATAGGACTACTAGTTGGCTCGATCGGACCCTAGCTTTATGCAAGCCAAAAACTAAGCCAATAAGAATCGAATAAGAGGAAGTTTCTCTCAGAGAAGGAGGTCATGTGCTAGCCCCTTCTATAAGTCTTATTTTTACAGCCTTCTTCCATCCGTACAGACCAGGACAGCTCCTTCGATGCATGAATCCGATGATCTTTCCCCCCTGCAGCGCGACAGTCAGGTTAGGTTACCCTAAAGCTCTAGTGGTTTTTGGAAATTTTCAAGTCAGTTTTCTTTTCTGGGTCATCCCTCTATGACATCAAAAAGATAATCTATTATACTTAGTGAATTCCTATACCCTGGGTCTTGGAATCAATACAAAGAAAATTGAGCATCATTGACCACTTCGTTTCAGCACCTTCCTTTCGGGCATTGGAAAATAGCCTTAGTTCCCCGCGGATCCCAGTCATTCGACTCGACTTGGAGTTCTCAACTATAAGGCTTGAGCATTCCATAAAGAAAGGCGGACAGGTTGAATGCTAAAAATCTTCTTCTTCGCTGCCTCACTTCTTACAAAGAGCAGCTTCCTAATCTACATCGGTCAGCACCTGCCGCCCCTCCATGACAAGAACAGAGAGCCAGTCCTTTTTTTCCCGATAGTACGCCCCTGACTGAAAAGAAGTCAAAGTTAAATATGGAAGGGATTAGCAGCCGTACGGTAGACTTGGATGAACTCTCAATCCGAAATGATGACCAGATGCCCTATAAGAGGTTGGATGCGTCTTTCTAATCCATCAGACGCATGGAGAGAAAAAGTGAGCCTGCCCTTTCCTTTAGACCATGGCCGCCTAGGACGAGAAGTCATTGACGCTTTCTCAGAAGGGAACCAGCAATGAAGACAGGAACTCCCTATAAACCAGAGACCCGAGAACCCAGCAAAGGCAATGCCAACTCTCGAGGTGCACAAGCTGGATCCCTAAGATGAACAGTTCTCATTGTCAATCGGTCATCTCGGTCAACTCAATCTTATGCACGAAATCATCTGAAGATCCGTACCAATGATTGTTAGAGATCTCCGATGCCTGTTTTTTCCGGTCCAATAACAGCCTGCCGAGATTCAAGTTCAGTTCCAATGATCGTTTTGTCCAATTCTCTTCGTTGGTCATGAGAAATCAAAAGAGCTAAGCCCAAACGAGAATTCCTATCCCCTCTTTCGAGCCGTCCCATTATTCCAACGGCCGGGGTAGGTATGATGCAAACAAGTGGTAATCACACGCTTATAATAACAAAATAAGAGTAATGTCTATGTCTTTCTTAAATTAAAAAGATTAAGATAGTTGATCGATAAACATCGCCGAAAGGTGCTTTTAAAAGCCTTTAATCCCATCTCCTTTGTTTAAGTAGAGACCACTATCATACGCTCGTAAACGTTGGTCGAGTCCTCCCTTCAGTCACTTACTTCTTTCATTTAAGGAATAACGGCCGGTAAGGAGAGGAGAAAGCGACTTGAGTCATTCCTGTCCCCATCTTCAACCGTCTCGCTTAACTAGATTGATTTTCATCGATCTTTCCTCTACTAGAAAGAAAAATCAGAACAACTATGAACTTATTCTCGAAGAGTTCAGGGCACTGACTGCCATCATGGCCTGAGTTCGAGCTCCCCCGTGTCCACCAATAATGACACAGTCCTACTTCACGCCCACAATTTTGACGCAATTCCTCACAGGCAACCGGGACCCCGTCCATATGAGCTTACAGTGTCAGAAATCAGACAGTCCCCCTTGCCTATCCAGCTTCAACCACCACCCTTCAATCACAAGAATCCACCGGTTAAGATCCTACCTCTTATTGCTTCGACCAAACTCACCCGAACCCTCCCAAAGATCACAAACAAGTTTTGTCTTCATGCGCAACATCGGAACGCTCCCTCCTCTCTCTCTCTCTTTCCCTGGTTGGTTTTACGCAAGGGGAGGGGATCTAGCCATCTACCTAAAATGGGTCCATGAAGGTTTGTCGTTCCTCCCTGAAGAAGCTAGAAAGAGTCGTAGCAGCGGTTGTCAGGTTACAGTCGGGGTCCTCTGCTGGTGTTACTTGGAAGGTTGTCCTCTGGTTGCCATGAAGTGGCAGGTCAAAAGCAGGCCTAGACTTCTGCTATCTCTAGGGCTCCTCAGGCTAGGCTAGCACGCTATTACTATAAATATAGAAGAAGATGATTCCCAGCTACTTGACCCGGCAACCGCCACTCCTTAGGAGGGGTAGATGCACGCGCATAAGCGGGGATAAAATATAAGGTTAAATTAAAGAGTCTGTGATAAACATGGATCTACAGAGAAGAACGGACATGATAACAACTAGAGGGATTCCAAACATCTCCCCAATGGCCTTGCGCCCTTGAATAACAGTCCTACCTTCTCAATGCCTGGGAAGACCTATCCGAAGAATGAGAAGAAAGTGTGACTTTTCCGGCTTGATCAACGCCCAAAAAGCCAGGAGTCCTAAAGCCGGGCTTCCTTTGCAATCTTCCATTGAAGTCAACGCTTCCAGCAGCTATAGAAGCTAGAAGCCATGAACCGGTGTTTGCCTTTCGCTTACCTTGGAAGGAACGCCGCCCCCCTCATACTTACGACTTGAAGGTGCTCTGCGGCAGGTTCCACGATTCGTTATCAAAGGAAGGTATAGGAAAGGGAAGGATACCAATGAAAAAAAGTTCAACTCGAATCAATTTCATTGCCCTTTGTTCCCGATTTGTTGGTCTCCGGTCGAGAATATCACAGTGGGGAGGGACCTGTAAAGCCAGAAGATAGCTTTTATCAAGTTGAATAAACTGGTAAGCGTTGTGCCCGCGAGTCGTGCCTAGCCTGTCCATTAGTAAGCCCGCCAACATTCTCTTCTATTATCTTTCTTATGTTCAAGGGAAAGGTCTAATCAGCATTCCAGAAGTTGCAACTTCTTTTCTTTCGATGTTGGTCCAGGCCCGTATCTTGGCATTTCAGTTGAATTGAATGTTGGCATTGGGCATTGAAAGTAGCAAGGCCCAATCCATCTGGTAAGTAAGCTTGTTCTTAAGGTCAAAAGCTAGTGTAAAAATATGTCCCTTTCTCGTCCTAAGCCCTAAAGTAACTGTCCCCCTATCCTCTTAGAGTTGAATTAGAGTGAAGAAGCTGTAAATCCAATCCTTTGCTTCGAATCACTTGCCTCACCCTCTTCGAAAGGATAAAACAATATCAGTCTTGCTACCACTTCCAACAAGAAGCTCATGGACTGCCTCGTCACACAATCCATGGATAATCTCACAAAATGGAACGGAAGCC